AAAATGTCTCTTTTACCTCCTCAATCCAAGAACAAATGCACTTATTTTAAGAAAAAATGACTTATCCAGATTTAGATTTTTTGCAGTGTGGGATGTAACTGGTTTCTGATCACTAAGATTATCCCAAATGTGGCTTCATCTATGGAGATATTGTTCAACAGAAACCAGATAAATATTATTTAATCACCTTCCAAGCCTGAGTTTGTTGAGTCACAGGCAGGACCTCTGACTCTGAATGATCTGGACGATCTTTAACATCGAGGATAGCTGTGTTTGTATTAATATGCTGCTGCAATAAGAACGCTTTTTGACACTTCTTGATCAGGGAGGCCATTTAATTTGTCTGTCACCGTGTGACTGAGCAGAAGACGGACACAGGAACCATCTTTCAAAGTGTATTTTTGCAAAACCTGGTGGAAAGTGTCAGATAAAACAGACAATACTGTGTTGTTACAATACAAGTGATACAGGATAAAGATGCTATGTACAAAAATATGAAGACGGCTGAGATGGCTTTGAAATGATGAGACATGGCTTTGGCAGATATAAATAGGTGTTTCTTCTTTCCATAAGGAAGGATTACAGGCGGTAAGCGGAGGGAATATTGCTTCCAATGTTTCTCACCCTGAGAAGTTCAGAAATTATTCAGTCAATCTGCTTTGTAGCAAAAAACACACACAGACAAAAAAAAGACCACGAGGCAGGCGGTCATTCTGTCACATTGCATCAGATAAGGAATAACTGATTGTACTGCAGTTAGGATTTAATAACGTCCCATGTTTTATTTAAAGATTGTCCAGATGCTCAGATCCAAACTCTGATCTGTAAAGCAGGAAAAACTCAGAAAAGAAAAATAAAGAAGAAACATAATTTAAGGAAAATGTGTGGATTAAATCCAATGTTTTATTTGCATAACAAGCGTCCCTGCTGCATTTTTTCCCGACGTCCATGTCGTCTTTTATGTCACCCAGCTGTCCATTCTCATCCGTTTCACCGTGGGGCTTTCCCTGCCCTCTGACCGGCCTGCAGGGAGCAGCAGGAGGTCTGGACGTCGTCTCTGCTGATGCTCCTCTCGGTCGCTGCCGTCCTCGTGGGAGCTGCAGGAGGAGCTGACGCTGCCGGTGGGAGACCTCCCTAAGTCAGCCCGGGTGGATGAAGAGGCAGAAGGAGGAGGAGGAGGAGGAGGTGCGGCGAGGTGGGTCAGGTATCCAGGCTGGGTGAGGTGGTCGCGTGGAGGAGAGATGGGCTCAGCTTTGATGTTGATGTTGGTGTGGACAGAAAGATTGGAGCCTGCTGATCTACGAACACACAGATGGAAGAGGCAGCTGTGAGAGCGCCACCTGGTGGCAAACATTGCTACACGTTCTGCCCTGTTTGATCCGACTTGCTGAAACTCTGAATCAATCAAAGCTTTATCTAGTCAGCATAATTTTGCCGTGGCTGCTTAAGAAAATATCAGAAATGTATACTTTGGATAAAGTTCTACATCAACTCTAAACCAAAAAGTAAAGCATTTCCAGTGGTGTTAAAAGTTCACACATTTGTTACTTAAGTAAAAGTATAGATACTGCAGTTTAAAAACACTCTGGTAAAAGTTGAAGTATCAACTTGACCTCTTTACTCAGTGTATTCTCATTATCAGTTCGTGTGAAATCGTACGAAAAGTTAAGCACAGTAATTTCATACGTTTTTGACGTTTTTTTCGTCG